AGAGCCAGGACATAAAGGTTTCCCTGGTCTCCCAGGGTTACCTGGGCCTAAAGGAGACAGAGGAATTGGACAACCAGGCCCACTAGGTCTAAAAGGGCCAGTTGGCCCACCTGGCCCGCCAGGGCAAGCAGGATTACCGGGGGTGGGTAAACCTGGTCTTCCTGGTGTAGCAGGTCCACCTGGTATGCCAGGGAAACCTGGACAGCCTGGGGAGCCAGGTCCAGAAGGTCCACCTGGTGAACAGGGCCTACAAGGACCACAAGGGGCTTCTGGAATTGGAATTCCAGGAGAAAAAGGATTGCCAGGACAGCCAGGTGCACCTGGCCACAAAGGATTACAAGGGCCACCAGGGTTGCCTGGGAAACCTGGAGACTAATAGAAACAGCTCCTTTAATCTCAACCTAACAATATCAGTCTACAGATGAGTATATGCTATGCTAAATTACAGAGTACTGTGTCTGTAAAGATACAACCTGCACAAAGACTCTGACAGATTGTAGTAAAAATGTTCAATTCAACACCACATTTAAACTGATTTTTTTAGAAGATTGTTTTTGTAACGTATTTATGTATTTGTTTTATTGATGATATCAAACATGAGTATACCTGCTTTAAAATGTTAAGAACACTATTTTTAATGTTGTTGTGACATTTGCATGATAACAAATGTATTTGCTTTGAATGGGATGAGAAAAGCCATTCAGTTTTTCAAAAATAGCACATATCATGGTTGTCTTTATCAATAATTTAAAAAAAATAATGTTAAAGGTTTTGCACAGTTGGAATATTGTAACACAAGTGCTGTGTGAACTGCAACCAAAGTATGAATTTCTTTGTATGTCTGTCTGTGTATGTGTGTGTGTGTGTGTATGTGCACTAGAGAAAGCATGTGTGTACGTGTGCTAGATTTTATTTTAGCCAAACTCCCTGCCCCCCAAACTTTAAATAATAATTTGTCTAACAACCACTTCTGTATCTATAATAAACTATCATCAAAATGAAAGTTTTACTTACAATACTTCATAAATACCTCTCACTATCATCAATCATATAACTTCCCTCGTTTCCAACCTTTTTTTTATTATTATTATAATTTTTTTTTTATTACTGATTGTGTAATAACCTGTCTTTATATGTGGGTCACTTTCTATAACGGTGCTAAAATTGTCTAATCCAGTGGAAATCTGTCTGAGTACCTTCCACCCACTTTTATTTAAAGTTTGTGACTTTTTCTTTGATTTTTTTAATAAAGATGACTTACATCCATAACTTTATGTCCATCAAATTGACATGAAATAAAAACACACTTCTTCCAAAAACAGCATCTAACTATGGTCACTTGGGGAATTAAAATATCAAATTTAAGATCTTATTACCATGTCTGAAAATAGGTACTAAAAATAGGTCCTATAAAAATTATCGTTCAAAGGTGATCTGTCATAGTTAAACTCTGCACCTAAATCCTATGCTGCTCATTTATTAGTCATTTAAAAACATGACACAGTTACTATAGTGATAGTCAATTATACTATTCAATAGTAATTATAAACACAATAGAAAACTACTGTGGTAACTTGGTCTTAGTCATTAAAAAGAGAAAAAGACTAAAATATTCCTTGGTTTAAAGGAGAGTTGCAACTATATTTACAGTGAAAGACTAACCCAATAAAATAGGTAATGCATTCGAAGTTGTGGGGGAAAAAACTATGACTAAAGCTTGTCATTTTATTGTGCTCAAATTCTATAATGACCTCCCTGGATCTGTCCAGTCACATGACCTCATTAACATCTATAAGCCTATAGCCTTCACCAGTGTTGGGGAAAGTTACTTTTAAAAGTAATGCATTACAATATTGCGTTACTCCCTAGAAAAGGAACTAATTACGTTAGTTACTTTTTATGGAAAGTAATGCGTTATATTAATTTTGCGTTACTTTCGCGTTACTTTTTAAATATGAGCAGGGCTTGATTGTTTTTAATATAAGAAGTTCTATTTATAGCAAATATAAAAGCCCTTTCACACCAAAAAGTGTAATGAATAAACCTCAGGCTGAAGCAAAAGTAAATTCACGTCTGTACAGTAGAACGCAGGAGAAGAAACACTCTTCAGCAATAAAAAACAAAGCACAATTGTGAGTTTCTCTAAAGTCATTTTTGCTTATTAGTATGGTTGAACTGGATCATCAAAGGTCAGCAGCAAAGACATCAGTTAATAAAATGGGATTAGATACATTTGTGTTATTTAATTATTGCAGGTTTGCGTCATATTCTGAGCTTGCATTTCACTGTTTTAATTCATTTTGATTAATACTAAATATGTTTTTTGTGAGTGGGATGAATTAATGCACATTCACATTTAGTCTAGAACTACAGTAACATCATGTTCACACAGCGCACACAACGCCTCTGTACTCCCGATTTCTCCCAATATGGGGACAGGAGAGCTAACAAAGCTATGGGAAAACAAAGTAACTGGCATTACTTTTTTGAAAAAGTAACTCAGATATTTTCTTGTAAATTAAAAAAGTAATGCGTTACTTTACTAGTTACTTGACAAAAGTAATCTGATTACGTAACTCGCGTTACTTGTAATGAGTTACCCTCAACACTGGCCTTCACCATAGTACGATTGTTTCGCCAGCTGTTACATCCTCTTCTCCCAGGAAGTAAGAGTGGTCAGGAACCTATTTAATATTAATAAGCCAAACCACCGCATCCTGCCCAGTACTCGGTGATGCTGATGATGCGCAGACAGAGATGCTGCGCTGTCAAATCACATTGCGCGAAGGGGCGGAGAGATTCTTTACTGCCCTGTTTGTGCGCATGAGCAACATATTATTGCCTTCATTGATAAAAACCCTTTGTGATAATATTTCCTCATCTAATCTTCTCACTGTCGCTTTCGGCGCGTTTCATCAATCCATTCGGTAAGTTTTTTTTTATTGAAATGCGCATCGCTTGAAATAGGGCCTACCTACTTTCAATTTACACAGTGATCCGTCTGTTAGTTCAAACGATCAATGTATCCTTCATCCGGAAACCGACCGGCCGGCAATATGTGCCTATATTTTCTTAAAGAGATCATTTATTTCTTTATTGTATAGGCTACAGACATATATTTTTATGCTTCACCTTGCATGACCACATGAAATTCACACGCTTTGCTTGTATATCGGGTTTAGTTCTCTTTTGGAGTGTTTTAATGTAAACTGTCCACTAGAATGCGCATGAGATATTATGTCATTTGCCTTTACTGGGCCCTTGTTAGATGTTGGTGCAGTATTATCCTTTTCAATTATTGTGCGGCTTGATAGAGTAAATGTTGTATAGTTCATTTTAGCATTTTGAGATATTTCTATTACAATTCAAAAATGCTCTGTACAGTAATAATTGCAGTTTGCTAAAGTAATATGTCATGTATTGGTGCCTGTAAATAACATATATTTACAGGGTGTTACAGTCATCTGGAAATTGGCAATGGCATCACGTGCAGGCCCAAGAGCTGCAGGGACTGATGGGAGTGATTTTAAACTCAGAGAGAAAGTGACTTCCCACTATCAGATGAGGTAACTATAACCCTTATTCTCTAACAGCAATATAACATAACCAATAACTGCATGTATATATCAGAATACTTATTTGAACTTTGAATATGTCTTTCAGTGCTTCATCAAAATCAGAAATAAAGAAGCTCACCGTAGTGCATTTCTTCATATGGATACTGGTGGCAGCTCAGGTGGCTGTTAGTCATCTCAATCTGGTGTCACATGATTTGGTGGCCATGCCCTATCAGTGGGAGTATCCATACCTTTTGAGTCTCCTCCCCTCGTTTATTGGCGCCCTGGCCATGCCGAAGAGCAACATCAGCTATCTGGTGATCTCCATGATCAGTGCTGGTTTGTTCTCAGTAGCACCCTTGATTTTTGGTGCAATGGAAATGTTTCCACTAGCCCAGCAGCTGTACCGACATGGAAAAGCTTACCGGTTTATCTTTGGCTTCTCAGCTGTATCTGTGATGTATCTACTCATGGTGATTGCTATTCAGGTGCACGCATGGCAAATCTACTACAGCAAGAAGCTTCTAGATGCCTGGTTCAACTCAACACAAGAGAAGAAGAAGAAATAAACATGCTATTGAGTACTTGAATTTATCCACCCTCATTTTCTGTCTCAGTTGTTACTGTACAATGCATGCAATTATTGTAAATGTTTAAATATACATTTGTAAGCAACAAAGCTTACTTAATGTGTGGATTTTACATTTTTTCATATATATTTAAATGAAGTTGCCCTTTTTTTGCTTTAGCATCTTATTTAAAACCTGAAATTCAGTTTAATTACAAATTATTTAGTCCATGTCAAGAATACAGAGGCATTCAAATAATTTTTAATTATTTATAAATAAAATATTACTTTAAGTATTTCATTGTTGTGTATTTGAAACGATAATTTCATTCTAAGCTTGATTTAAAAAAGCATGGTCTATCATAAGCTGTCTTTTCAATAGGAATTTATACTTTCTTTTATTATGTTGGTTCTAAATCTACTTCGGACACAACACTTTCACACATGATTTTTTATGGACTAGGAGGTGCTACATCAGAATCTTGTGAGGGTGAAGAGAAATGTTTTGCCTTACGTGAGAGGCTTCAATTATAAACCTATAATGCTTCATGTTATTGATTATAGCGAAGATTTTTTTTAAACTCTTGTAAAAACTCTTGATTATTTGTGGTTAATATGATGGGTTAGATCCAGAAAAAATGCTTGGGTACCCAAACTCAGTTTATAAAACAAACAAAACTGACTACAGAGGAACAACATACAATCAGTTAAACTTAAGTCAGTTTTATTTGTTTAAATGAACCTATATATTTAATATAAAATATATTTATATTATATTGGTTATCAAAATGCATTCAGACGCCATATAGGCCACCTCATCGGTAGTAGGCTAACTATTTATAAATTTACAAGCCAGTAGTGCGTAAGCAGTGTCCGGATAGCGCGCATGCGCGTTTGTGGTTTTGCCACGTACAGGTCGCTGAGGCGTTTCCAATCAGTCAGTCAGGCGTCGTTCAGCTGAAGTCCGGGACACAGGCTGCTGCTGGAATTGACACGTCCAAACCACCAGGTAGAGACGCGGGGCTTCTCGTACAAACATTTACATACTTTTATATGGCCCCTTTAGAGTTTTTAGGGCACTTCTGGAAATGAACCATTAGTAGTTAGCCGGTTGTCAAGCAAACTAGCATTAGCTTAGCTTAGCCTGTGAGAAACTAGGGCAAGCTAAAAAAAACAAAAAAACAAGAGAGACGTTTTGTACAAAAGTCTGTGTTTTTGAACAACAATATGGCGTAGTTAAATAATCGTGTTTTAAACACGGGAATAATTGTTGCTGTATTTTAATTGAGATTTGATTACAGTATTTTATTCTTTGACGCCGGGAGAATTGTCACGCTCAGACCTTTATTTGGCAGGAAGTTGCTGCATCATCAGGTGAATGAGGCCTGATCAGATGTTTTAAAAGGATCACACTTTGGCAAGACTTTTAAACGTCATGCTGGTGCGATGAAGGGAATGGCCTGATGTGTAATGCGATCCAAAAACCACATCTTCTGCTCTTCTAAAAGATGTTCAATAAGGATTTCTGACTTCGCTGGTGTGCTGTCGTTACTGGAAACTGTTGGCTGCCCTGTTTAACATGTCCAACCAGAGAAGCCCTTCATTCGCATGACAAGTTCAAACAAAGTTTTAAAATGGTACTGCTTATTGAAATAAAACCGAAATAAATCTGCATTTGATTGACAGTTTGCCAAGCAGCCCGTTCCTTATAGTTTTGTCATTTTCTTGATCCAGCGGGTAACAAGTCATTAAGTATGAGATAAATACAGGTCTGTCTACATGCTGCAGAGTACCAGGGTGAATGATAGGTAAACTAATCAGAGTAAGAGTCAAGATTGTCCCTGCTTGATCACACACACTCAGATTGTTTGTATTGTGGTCTAAATCCCAAAATGTTTCTCCTTATAATCATGTCTAAGGCCAAAGACTGTGTTGAGAAAGAATGTGGGCCATCTGCATGTGCCAAATCATCTTATATCTCATGACCCTCAGACTTTTATATAAAGTATGTCCCAGTAATGTACAGTAGCACTTGTTCAGATATAACTTCATAGATGAGTCATAAGACTGTGGGTTTCCAATTAAGATACAGGCCTAAGTCATTCACTGACATTTTTATATCCATAACAAAAGCAGGGGAGTTAGCGGTGAGCGAAGACACTCATTGAGATACAACTATCAGATTTCATGGTTAACTGTTGTGTTGCGAGTGGAAATCTGTGCTTCTGATAGAAGAACATAATTGTGTCTTCATAGGTCATGTCGTTGGTTTAACTGTAGTCCATTAGCTCTGCGAGCCCGCATATGCCTACATTTAGTGTAGTATTCACTGCTGCAGCTCTGATAGTGTGTTTGGTTTCAGTTTGTTCCTGTACTATCAAATGACGTCTGATGTGCATGTGATGCATTAAATAGTGATAAATGGAATGCTTCTTTAATAAACGTCTTAATGGTAAAGGTGTAATATCAGCTGTCAAATCATTTTGGATATTTTGACTAACTTTTTTTGAGTATTGTTCATTTCATTTCAATTTAAATCTCAATTTTGTGTGTCTCATTTGCCATTGTACTAAATTGAATAGTAAACTCTTTAGCTTATGGCACTGGTCTTGGCTGATGAAACCCGTATTTGTAATATATATATACAGACACAGTATTTTAAATAAAATTGTATTTTTTATTTATTTTTTGCAGCAGTATGAATGGCCAGCTGGACCTGAGTGGGAAGCTGATCATTAAAGCTCAGCTGGGCGATGATATCCGCCGTATCCCCATCCACAATGAAGACATCACCTACGACGAGCTCCTGCTGATGATGCAGCGAGTCTTCCGTGGGCAGCTACAGAGCAGTGATGAAGTCGCCATCAAATATAAGGATGAAGGTCAGTTTTTGACTTCAAAACACGCTTGTATTTAACCAATTTCAATTTAACAACTTAAAGAAGGTTATAGTAAAAGGACAGCATACATATATGTTTATTTAACCATTTTTTAATCAGTCATGTAGTATAAAACTATAAGATCTGTACACCTATAGATGTTCCTAATAAAATCTCCTCTCTTGTGAGATAACACAGCTGCAGCTTTTAATGTCCAGCAGAGGGTATAAAAGAACAAGATTTGAACTGATAATGAGACTGTGTCTGGCTTTGTATGGTTATGAGCAGGGGGTTACAATAGGATTTTGGAGCCAGTGGGACATTAAATTCTGGTGGTGACCCCTTTAAGTGTTACTTGGGTGTCTAAATATTTGTTGGGCCACTAATATGGTTTAATAGAACATAAGGATTTTAAACGTATCATAGATGTTAACAGATATAATGCAGTACTTCGAACAGAAAGGACATTACTTATGTTCTCTAAGAACATAAATTGTGACCAGTGGCCTTGGATATTTGTACAAGGAAGGTTAACATAAAGCAGCGGTTCTCAACCAAGAGGCAAGGGGCCTCATGATGATTTAAACTGATTTCAAATGAAATAAAGCAAGCATTAAAATAAAAAACAAACAAACAAAAAAAAAAAAGATATTTTGAGGTCTTGTATATTAATTCAGAATCAGAAGGGGCTTTTTTACCAAGTATGTTTACACACACAAGGAGTTTGACTTGGCGACAGGAGCTTCCAGTTCAGAAGAAAGTGCAGACATGCATAGAATTACACAGTAAAGATGAAATAACACTAATATAAGAAAAAGAAATGATTCATCCCCCCAACAACCTTTCTTTGAAGAAAACCTGGATTTATAAGGAAGCCTATTTTTAAAGTGTGGTTTCTAGACCTGGAAAAGTCATATAAATAAATTAATAAAGTTTTTATAAAAAAAAAAAAAAAAAAAAAGCATTTTACTAGTTATACCAAGCTCTATAATACTTTATTGGGTAGAAATAAAATTTTTATATTTTATAAATCATTATCCAATAAAGCACAAATGACTGTATGTTCAGATAATGACTAAATTCCTTGGTTAAAAAGAGTGTGAGCACTGAAGAACAATCGGCTCCTAAAACTTTTTTTAATTGACAGAAACTGAATGCCCATAGATTAAAAATGTTTTGCAAGCAAAGGGGGTTAGGGGGTGCTTTGGAGTCAGAAAAGTTGAGAACCACTGACTTAAAGAGGTAGTCCCCCCAAAACCTTACAGTTAACATCAGTGGGATCCAATGTTGTTTGGACCCCAAAATTCTTTAAGTCGTACAGGTTTGGAACAACCTGAGTAAATAATGATAGCATCTTCATTTTTTGGTGAACTATTCCTTTAAGATAGATTAGGTCATCTTACAGACTTACAGTCTGCTCTCAATCACGTGAGCTGTGCTGAAAAGCCACTCTTTTTAACTGGTACATGGCACAAACAAATATTCTAAAGAGAGGAAAATCGGACCCGGTTACTTGCCCAATAACGTCATGCTCTGTTCTAGAGATGTTGGCTCATGCAGGTTCATCTGCACTGTAGTGTCAGTGCCAGTTCTCAGCGTGTGCCGACTATTCTTCAAATGTTTCATCGTAAATGCTGCAGAGGCTGTAGATTTGGGCTGCTTGATTCATACACTATTTTACACCGTGATTTATTTGACAAGTCTAGCCAAAATCAAAAGTTGCAGTCTGTGTGGGTTTAACAAAATCCAGTATTTATGCTCATATTCAAGACATTGTTATCTGAAAGAACTGATTTAAGTACCAACTCAATATACATGTGTTTCTTTTCCTAATAAAAATAAATTAATACGTTTTGGTGAAATCGGCACTGTCCAAAGCCTCCATGCTCCAGCCAGATGATGTCATGTCTTGACCTTGTGTTTGCAAATGTAGCCCTGCCCTTTGTTGGATGGTTTAACTAGTTAAAGAGAATTTTGAGAAGAAGATTTAACAAGTTCAAATGTGCTGGTTCACAATTATATAATATCACGTGCGTGTATGCATCCCAAACGTGTGACTGGCGCCCAGGGGCTGGGTTGGACGCTTGCTAGAGCTCATGTGATCTCTGAAGAGTCTGGAACGGTTCAAACGGCAGCCGGTCTCAAACATATGGACTTAGGAAAGAACATTCCAGACTCACAGTGCCAAAACTCTGGATTACCTCATCATATAGGCATAGTGTGGCTATCTAAATTTGTTGTTCTCTTGTTGACTTTGACATCCTAACCAGACGAAATTGAGACAAGTTTCCAGCGTTAGAGTAATTTTTCTGACCTCACTTTAAGTGAAAAGCTGCATGAAATGACAAAATCACAGCAAATCAGAACATGTTTGATGTTTAATATGTTATGATGGGGTTTTGGATGAAGGAAAACATGACGAAAATAGAAACAAAGTGGTCAATGAAACGTCTGGCAGCTGGTTTGGACAAAAGCTAACATGGACAGATGCATTTTGACTAGTTAGGACAAAGTGTTTCACAGTGCTGTCAAAAAGAATGTTTGTGTTTTCGCAGTGAATGGGCAGCCTCGGCCACTGGAGTCATCTCAGGTGAAGCACCTGCGTAGAGAACTGATCCATTTGAGGAATAAAGTCAACAGCCTGCTGGACAGCCTGGAGCCCCCCTCCGAGATAGTCCCAGAGAGCACCAACCGAGAATCTGGTACTTGAACTCTCCCAGAGTGATTGTCACGTTCTTCATATCCAACACTGTAACCAAAGCATTTAAAGCACATAAAATCCCATTTTATTATTTTGATGATAAAAGGTGGATAGCATAAAGGGTTAGTTCAATGAAAATGTTGTCATTTACACATCCTTGTCATTCTAAACCCATAATACTTCATTCCTACTGTGGAACACCAAGGGAGATCTTTTAATAAATGTTCATGCTGCTCTTTACCATACAATCAAAAGTATAAAGTCACCAGGGGCTGCCAAACTCCAAAAAGCAGCTCAAAAATAGCCAATAATAGCCAAAAATAGCCAATGAGTCAGTAAGTCAAATGACATCTTTATTTTTTGAAAAGGCTGATATTTAAGGTGAAAAGTGATCATTTGGCATCAAAATTGTCTTGACGTGACACATTTGAATGAATGCATCCACATTTATTGCATGGGTTTGGAACAGAATGAGGATGATGATAGAATTTTCATTCTTTTCATCACTTTCCAATGGAACCTCGTAAATGTGCTTTGAGAGGTGAAGACGGGCGTTACTAAAGCTGTCTTGTTCTGATGTCTCTGTGTGACAGAATGTGTGAATGAGGCAGTAGATTCAACAGTGAAGCATGCCCCTCCGGTCAGTGCTGCTAGCATGTCTGCTTTTGACCCCCTGAAGAACCAGGAAGAGGTCAACAAGAATGTAATTTCTGCATTCGGCCTGTCTGAGGAACCTGCCCAAGGTACCATATACATGTAAAGATTTCATAGTGCTTAGCTGTAGCTTTTTAATTGAAATTGTATCGTATTTTTTTCAGCTATAGCAGGGGTGTCCAAACTCGGTCCTGGATGGCTGGTGTCCTGAAGAGTTTAGCTCCAACCCTAATTAAACACACCTGAACCAGCTAATCAAGCTCTTACTAGGCATACTAGAAACTTAAAGGCAGGTGTGTTGAGGCAAGTTGGAGCTAAACTCTGCAGGACACCGGCCCTCCAGAACCGAGTTTGGGCAGCCCTGAGCTATAGGATTGATTATTGCGATAAATTACTTGATTAAAGACACAGATCATACTTTTTAATGGTTTATAGCCTCGTGCTGCATTAATACAGATTTAATTTGAAGTGCTGTCACAGGTGTGTTTCTCTGCAATTTTATGTCTTCTAGTGTAACTCGTCCATTCAGATTTTAGATCTGGAGCCACCTGATTTTTCCTTTACTCTTCCCTGTGTTCCAGTTCCAGCTGTAGCCGCCACCGCTGCTGCAGAGGAGCGCTCTGCTACTCCAGACAGTATTGCCTCTTCATCTTCTGCAGCGCCCCCTTCTGCTGTGGCTCCCCCAGCTTACTCAGGGGTCCAACAAACTTCCTCTGCAACTATGGATGGTAAGTCTACCACTTTTAAAACTTGTACCAAAAGTCTGAAATGAGACTTTTATCAGATGTAGAATGTGATCAGGAATGACGTGGCTCATAAGTAGTTTTTTGAACAGTAAAGTGTGTCTTACGTAAAGTGCACTAACAGACATGTCTGATGAGTGTCGGGTGACTAGGGCTGGGCAAAAAAATTTATTTTTCGATTAATCGTTTTTTTAAAATGATATCGATTCTCAAAAGCCGCAAATCGATCTTTTCCGGGATTTATTTCAGCACATTTAAAACGATCTGATTAACGTGAATCTTATCATTAGTCTTCTCCACTAGATGTCACCCTTATTTATCTTGCGCGATGTTACAACAGAAAGCCTGTCATTCATTTAGCGCTTATCATGGCCATCCGCATGATTCGCAATGCTCAGGTGAAATGCTATAGTAATACTATAAATCTGCGGAAGAATTTGATATCACGCATAAGGCACCATGATTTCCACAATGAATGAATGGCGGATGGCGCGGCGCACTTTGTTTACTACACGCATATCATTTGAGAAAACTACCGTCATATCACATACACAGCAGCTGCAAGTTCTTCACGGCAACCCGTCAAAATAAGTTTAGTTTAACGTTAAACTGTCAAATATATATTACTATTTAGCGGTCTGAAGACTCAATGCTACTACTGCTAATAAATATTAATAAATCTTTATTTTTAAAGGAATAATCACATCTGTTTTATTTTTAATTTTAACAGTAAACCTCTGTTGTGCAGCACTTTGTTTGCCAAAAAAAAGGGATTAATTTTCATTTGATTATAAATTAAATTAATGTTTTATGCCTTCATCTGATTACCAGAAAAATTAAGAACATTTTATAGGGCCCTACTATTGTTTAAAAAGGACCCTATACAAAAAAAAAAAGAATAGGTTTAAAATACAGGCATGTGGTTCTTAATTTCTTTTTATTAATTCACTATTTGTAAACTGATGTTTACTGTTAATTTTTTAGAAATATCAATAGCATTTGTATTAAAACTATATTCACTGAATGTAATTTAAAAAAAATTGAGAATCGAATCGAGAGCTTGCGAATCGAAATCGAATCGAATCGGGATATCTGAATCGATACCCAGTCCTACGGGTGACCCCGTCTAATTATGCAACCTGAAATCAGTCTATAGAGCTTCCTTAAGATTGGCCAGTCAATTTAGAGAATAGCAGTTTTGCACGTCCTCCTTGCAGATGTTTCCTTCTGATGCTTACGGGAAACTGTCCAGCGAAAGAAAGATGAACAAGGAATCATGTGTCTCAAAAGTCTTTGTAGGGGATTCAGAGCATGATGTTATTCTCTACTTGGCCATTGAAATATCTCCCCTCGTTTTCTTTCCAAAAAAACGGCCACATCAGTCCAGTGGACTTGAGAAATGCAGGACGATTCTCGATTTGGCAGGTCATGCTGCTTTGGCTGGAAGGTCACACACCTGTACTTACACGTTCTCTCACACTCATACACAAACCCAAACAAAACTAATTTGTTTGCAGCATAAAATCACCTTGCAGATGTTGTCTTCTAACTGAGGCTCTTGGGAAGTTGTCCAGCGGAAGAAGATGAACTAGAATGGCCCTCAAGTCAAGAGCATAATGTTAAACCCCCCCCCCCTCACTTTTTCCCCCCTCACTTTTTCCAAAGAATTTCTTCCACATAGATGCAGCGCACATGAGAAATTGTGCAGAGCTATTCTAGATTTGGCAGATTGTGTGGATGGTCGCCATGGTTGCATGGAGTTATGGAGCTGTGATGCTTTTCTCTGCTTTATTGTTCCCATCATCTGCTGCAAAGGGACACAGACACACAGCCTTTTCTCATTAGTTTCCTGGTGCGATACACAAACATACAAACATTTATGAACTTTGGATAATCTGTTTGTGTGCTTTGTGTCAGCAAAGTCGCTGTACAATGCAAGCTTTCTGGTCTTTAAAAATATTTGGATCTTTTTAAGTCTACTTAATTTGGATTACAAATAAAGTATTTAAAATGAGTTGGTCAGACGTCGCTCCTCATCTTCAATCAGGATCTGTGCTCTACACAGATGGTAAGGCTGTCACAGACTCTCAGCGTTTGGATGATCTATTATCTGCTCATATTTATGTGGCTGTCCTATTTGTATGTTTTCAATCAGCCTCTCTGTATTGGCTCTTTATTTGTTGATACTCCAGAGTAACATGCCACATTAAAATATATTCCGACAGGGTGAGAGAGATCAGTTCTTAATATTTATGGCCCTCTGGTGTACCAGATATTTCTCAAACGTTTGATGATGAAACCAAGTAACAGTGGGATATCCTCGCTAGGATCCACAAGCTGCTTGCTGATGTCCTGGATTTTTACGGGAATCCCCTCCCTTAACAGTGTGAATCTTAATCCTGGACAATAACATGAATTTATGTTGTCTTAAAACAATAAACATGTTTTCTGTGATTAAACAGGTCAGATGTATCAGCAGTATCAGGCTCCAGGAGGATATCCTCCAGCAGCTGGACCCCAGCAGCAGTATGGGATGCAGTACCCTGGTAATTCTTTAAAACACCTACTAATGATTCCTTCATAAATTAGAGCTCAGCTTTAAGCTCTGTTCCTAACAAATGTGATAGTCATTTGCAATCAACTATTCAAATTAGTATGATGCTAGATTTTCTCTGAAAAGTTTGAACAACATTAGTTATTAATATATGCATTTGTTATTAATAAAGGTCGCGGGGCAGCGTTGACAAGTTTTAATGAAGCAACTCAACGTTCCTACATTACTTGTTCTAAAGTGACATTTTCAAATTATTAGTGGAGGCTTGGGATGGAAGTAGTTCTGCATAAAAGAGTGTTTTTAAAGACACTTGCTTCTTATGCATTTACACATTAATGCGGTCGAACTGTTGTATAAATGCAATATCAAACGAGTAACATTGCGATATTGCTGTATTTACTAGAGCCCGACCGATATATCGTTTTGCCGATATTATCGGCCGATATGAGCCTGTCGCCGATACAGTGAGGCAAAAAAGTATTTAGTCAGCCACCAATTGTGCAAGTTCTCCCACTTAAAAAGATGAGAGAGGCCTGTAATTTTCATCATAGGTATACCTCAACTAATTATTTTTTTTGTTCAAATAAAATAATAGCGTTTTTAAGAATTAATTTGACAATGAACACATTGCAACTATGCTTGGGACGGCCCACATAAATGAGCAAAAATGCTTTACATGTCTTGAAATAATAATTTCTAAACATTAAACATTGACTGCCAGTCTTTATTCACCTGTTTCTCGTTGTTTGTCATTAAAATTTAAGTAAATAGTGTAAATTACATAGCTAATGCCATAGAATAGCACATTGTAACGCAGTGTTACAACGTGCCCCATCTGCGCAACTGGAATTTAAAACTGGTTAGTGTCTTCTGCTAGTAATCAAAGCATTAAAAAACTATCTGAACTGATAAATAACAGATTGGAGATTAAAATTATTTGTCTAATTTTAAATGAATAGTAAAAACTGAGATGAAAAAATTTAAGCCAGAATTTAAATGTTACTATGGTAAAATAAATGTTAAAACCACGTGTTATAACTAACACCCCGTTACTTTGTGCATCGCACTCATCGCAAGTTTATTGTTAAAT